ACACACACACACACACACACACACACACACACACACACACACACACAAAAAACAAATCCAGTGAGAGTAAATGTCAGTTTTCCTGCAGAGTTTTTCTAGTATGGTCTTGACACAATTTCTTAAAATCTTCATCATAATGTGCATCATCTTCCAAACTAACTGCTAGAATCTGTTGAAGCAATTTTCTGATGGAATTTTTTGTCCTTTTTGCAAAATGTCTGCATGTTTGCATCCATTTTATTTAACTCAAACCAATAAAAACATGCTGAGGAGTGGAAAAAAAAAATCATCACTTAAATTTAAAAAGTACTAATGTTTTCCGCAGTATTTTAAATATTATTCCAAAAGATTTTTTATAGTGTATAAAATGGGTTTAACATCAACCCTTCATTAAAAGAACTAAGAAACGTCGAAATTATGGGGCCAGTTTCTGGATGTTAATTTAATTTGAAAAAAAGTTAGCTAAATTAGTATTTATGCGTCATAATAACTCTTTTAATTAGGTAATTTAAATTATAATTTAACAAGCTATAAAAAAAATTTACAGTGTAGAAATGTCAAAAGTCAGCTGCATGCTCTGACAGGAGCTTGTTTTCTGTAAATTAACACAAAAATTGAGTTTTGATCATTTGCATATGGCTGTAACTGCACAGTGAGTCAATAATTTTATAGTTTTTTTTTAACCTAACTGACCTACTTTAAATTGAAATATCCGTCAAACTCGGTCACTCTTGGCCCAGGTATCGGTACATTCACATGATGTGATTGTAAAATAAATAAACATGATACTTAAATGTATTAGAGCTGAGTTTTTACAGTAAAGTCATGAGTTTATCACACTTGTTTCATAATGGTTCTCTGAAACTGTGCCTCAAATTACATCATGTCGGTGAAACCCTGAAGGATCTTGGACGTGAGCCAGTTTGTTCTTCAGAGTCACTTCAGATTCTTGTTTTCCATTTTAGGAAACCAGAAAAGACAGAAATGTTACAGTTTGACAGTAGATTTCAGTCTAAATCTGAAAAAACGGGGCATATTAGCTAAAAATGTGCTGTCTCTTCTTTGTCCCTCATCATGGAGCCAAGAGGGAAATTGGAAGCACCCTCTGTCCGTCCGTCCACTTCTTCTTGTGAGCATAGATTGAAAAACAAGTGAGGTGCCGACCTTCATTTTGGTTTGTGGCTGCTTCTAGGTGTAAAACATTTCACTTTTAAAGTTTGGATTGCTAGGTCAAAATCCAAGATGGGTGCCACCATATATGTAAACCATCCACCCTGATCATTTGAGAAAACTGCTTCCTATTTTTTTATAATGCTTAAAGGTATAGTTTCCTCAAATGATTGGGGTGGCCAAAAGTTAATATTTGGTGGTCAAGACCACCGTTAGCCACCCCTTGCCTCCACCATTCACCTGCTGGTGGATAAGATTGCTCCCTCCTCTCGCCAGGATCCATAAATCTGCACCACCTCAGAAAATAAAAAAAACGACCTCTGTTCTTCTCCACGGTGTAACTCCTACCCACTTGAATATCTCTCACTGAAAACATTAAGCTTTTATTGCATTCCCTGTTCACTTCCTGTCCATAAATACACTCATCTCAAAAAACATTCACTGTTCAAATCTGTGTGACGGGGACATCGACGTAGCTTGTTTAATTTGTGTGGAGAGTTCCTTGGTCTTCATGCTGTCTGTTGCTTGGTGGTGGACCATACTACTGATGGTCTGGGAGCTACCAGAACAAGTGTTCATGGTTTGATGGGTTTGGGTCATTTGGCACTCGGAACCCTCCCAGGTGGATCTTAGAATCAGAATAAGCTTTATTATCATTGCACCATAGTACAGTACAGTGAGATTATGTTTGTACAGTCGTTCGAAAGATGGGCGGAGTGCACGATGCTGCTGCTCCTAAGAGCATGGCCCCTTATTCTTTAGATAGAAAAGGGGATAGGCTATGAGGAAAGGATAGTGGTATTACAAAAAAGATCTCTTCACACCTTGTCCTTAACAGAACACGGTTTAAGACAAAATAAACCCTCTACCAGCACGCACATTTATAAACACATTACATATGCATATGATGGCAAGACAGTGACATTTATCCATGAAGCACTTCCAGATAGCACCATAGTCCTGATAAGATGTTGGTGTCAGCCGGTACAGCTCTGATGAGCATTCACAGAAGTTGGTGGGGGGGGGGGGGGGGGGGGGGGGTTTTGATCAGAGCCTTCCTTAGTTTACACACATCCCAGGAGAAATTTGATACGTCGGCATGCTTCAAGGCCAAACAGGGGAGTCAGATTCAGATAAGCCACAGTTGTTGATTTTTTTCAGGCATACTGTTATTTCTCGTCAGCCTTGAGTTCTGCTGGTACTTTCGATCCAAAATGGCCAATTAGTGGGCATTCCACTGGTCCGTGCTTATTAGCTCCCTCCAAGGTTGTCCCAAACATGCTGGCGAGTCCCAGAAGCCACAAGTGGCCTGCGATTTTCACAAATTGTTTCCATCTTACGATTGAGCTCGTAAATCAGCTGATTTTGAGTGCTCGAAGCACGAACCAAACCTTCACATACACTCGGCAGCTTTGCCATGGCCAAAACTGCTGCCACCATCTTCTTTAAGAGCTGATAACATACAGTAGGTGTCCGCCGGTGCCAAACAGCAGAAACCTCTTCTATCATGATTCCAGTGATATACACAATAATGATATTTAACAATGTGGCTTCTAAAGGTAATGGATGGAGCTTCAAGGGGTGAAGACACATGTACACACACTTTTGAGCTTTTATATATATGCAATTTAAAACAAATTTCCCCCCATTAAACTTTTATTATGATTTTTTTAGGATTTATTGTTTTGAATCAAACTTAAACTCCAATCAAATTCCAGATTGGGGGGGATAAAAAAAACCGAGGGGTGAATACTTTCGCAACCCACTCTATCTTGGGTTTGGCAAAGTCCCATCACGGTTTCTTGGTGGCAGGAAAAAGTGAGCAACAACAGGAAATATTACACGTCTGTGTGAGGGTTCGTTCCATCTCTGTGTTCGCAGAAACTGGAGAAGGAAAAACTTCAGCACAGTCAACTTTAAGTTGCTTTAATTCCTGCGTGTTGTTTTAAATCACAACTATTCAAACGTTCACAAACTGAGCTAAACCCCTGTGACCCCTCCTGTGTTTCCAAGTGAAGGATAGGAAATAAAACCACACTGAACTGGGGAGCTGCATCATGTGCTGCTATTGGACTTTGGATCATTGAAAAAAAAGAAACAGCTCAACATTTTCCAATTCCTGTTTCCAGAAAAGCAGCCAGCAGTGAAAACTTGGTGTTTGAGAGGAAATAAAGCAGGAAGATTGTGCTTTGGTTAAAGAAATAATTTAAAATACAACAGATGGAAACAAACAGTGCAAATCGTCTTATAAAGATCAGAATCCATGCATTTTGAACATTCTATGTCTGTTCAAAGTTTTAACTTTTAATTGGTGTCAATTTACAGATTTTTTTTTTTAGTAAGTGGTTTGGATTTGTTTCATTTGAACGCATCTTTTTAAATTATCTTCATTTAAACTTGTTAGCCTCTCATGTTTTTTATGTACCCAGGTAGATTTGTGCTGGGAAAACTTCTTTACAGCCAATTGAGAGTGGAATATTCAAAGAGTAAAAGCCTTTTTACATTTATTACCTTCTGTCACTTTTCCTGGCTTAAAGTGGCGCTCTCATTAATGCGTTCAAGAAGACAAGACGCCAACATCGCCGTCCTCATTTTTCACAAATGGGAACAATTTACCCAAACTAATATTGCTACAGGAACTAACCTCTACCCTCTGCATTTAAACAAAGCTAACTTGGCTTGCTGAACTGAGGCAGAGACTTAAAAAGTGCTTTTTGAATCGGTTTATGCTAACAAAGTCAATAAATCA